GTCCAACTGGCATTCTTGTCCATCTAGAGATGTGACATTGAGCGAAAGGGAGGAAGAGCACAGGTAGGCTGAGACTTTACATGGAATGTTGTGGTAATTATTTTATTCAAGGGGCAGTGATAAGAAAACCGGAAGGGGAATTCAGCTTGAATGATGATGGAAAGCTCAGGATGGAAGAGCGAGCTCTCCCCAATCTTGAGAATCTTTGGACTATCTGTGATATCTCCAGCCTTCTCGTGGGATGTTGTATAGGCACAATATAATTTTATTTGAGTGCTGGGGGGAAGAACAGCTCTACAAGGCTTGCTGTGGAGAATATTAAATAAACGGGAGATTAAAATTATACACCCAGGAAGCACGTGAGGAGAGTGAAGGCAAAACACAGTGCCAACTGAGAATTCGGGATCCGGCCTTGAATTCCTTCTCCGTTGTCCCGGTTGCAGGATCTTGGCCAGTCAGATTCACCTTGGTGATCCGTGGTGTCCTCATCTGTCCAACCATAATAAAAAGGGTTAGTGTGAGTATGAAATAAAACAACACTTACAATATATCTGGTATGGTTTCTGGTCCAGGCTTCATAGCCGGTAAAGGGCTGTCCACAAATCTCAGGAAAACATGACGTTCCTCAAGTGACAATAATTGTGGGTATTTCCCCAAAACGCCTTGCAAGCAAGTCTATGTCCATACAAAGTATACCATTTTTACCCTTGCAAACAAAGCATCCAACCCACAAATGGTTCTTTTTGAGACAGAGTTTGTCTGTAGCTTTGGAGCTGTCCTGGAACTAGCTCTTGTAGTCCAGACTGACCTCGAATTTACTGAGATCCCCTGGCCTCTGCCTCCCAAGTGATGGGATTAAAGGTGTGCGCCACCAGCGCCACTACTGCCCGGCTGACAAGTGGTTCTTAAGAAGGCAGGCAGATTGGAAGTAGAGCATTGTGGCTCAGGCCTTTAATCCCAGCACTTGGAAGGCAGAGGCAGGCAGATCTCTGTGAGATTGAGGCCAGCCTGGTCTACAGAGCAAGTTCCAGGTCAGGCTCCAAAGCTACACAGAAAAACCCTGTCTCAAAAAATTTAAATAAAAATAATAATATAAAGGAAGAAGAAAAAAGGCAGCCTGAGTCTCTCACCATTCTCTCACACATAAACACAACATTGTTATATTTCAAGTGCCACCTACAGATAAGCTTGGAAAAGGGGCATATTTACCCAACACATAGGTTTGTAGTATTTTTACCCTACACATGCCTGCCACCGGACACATTGATGCTGAGCACTTAGGATCATACTGTTCACTGCTCCTTTAAATCTACGCCTGTGCCACAACCAGACTGTGGAGGGCCTCAGAGTTGTGTACCATCTATTCAAGTGCGGTTGGAGGAAACTTGCATTTACAGACTTGATTTTTGGGGTTTCTATTCACCACTGTGTAAGAGGAACACCAATCACATTGGTGCCATAAGCACACGTAACAAAGAGACACGCATAACAAAGGGAAGAACTACACACATAAAACATATGAGACCCCCGCAGACTTTTAGATCTTACCCCAGAACCCATATCTAAGTATCCACATCTTATTCCCCTTTGCTAAGATCTCAGTTTCCATTCTCCAGATAGCAATTCAAGGTAAGGGATGTCTCTTGCTGCCTTCAAGCTTGGCATAACCTTGCAGTCAATCAACAAATACTCAGTTCTCCCTGGAAGAGACATCTGTCATTGGTCCCTCCCATTTATTTAAGCCTACTTAAATGAGTCAAAGCATGTCATAAATAAGAAAACAACCCCCCAATCCTATACGCTACTGATCTATGTTGAAATATGATGAGAAGCTGATGAACAATTTGTTTAAGAAACAACAGTGACTTAGACCAGACAAGGTAGCCCTGTGTCTGTAAGGAGTTCATTTGGACTATATGTTGGCAGCAGTCTTACTAGATATAATGCACTAAGCAACCCACACGTCTCCATCTTCCTTCCTCAGCAAATGGTTCCACTTTTCATCCAATACTCCAAGTAACATGCAAGAACCACACTCCATTTGTCTTTCTTCTCACTCATGCCTCTCACATGACTCATTGTGTCCTGTTAATGAAACCACCACCAGTACGTATTCCAAATGGAACCCCTTTTTACAATTGCAGGACTACCTTCTCTGTCCTAAGTCACCGTTGTTCCTCGAATGAATTATTCATCAGTTTCTCATCCTATCTGTAGCTTCACCTTTTACCCTCTGCAGTCTATTCTCCCTGCAGTGGCCAAAGAGACTTTGAAAGGTCAGCCAGATAAGGGAAAAAGGCACATTGCCAACCATCTGGGTCAGTCACCAAGACAAGAAGCAAATGAACCAACTGGGCCCTGAGTCTTCTGCTCGTACACTGCCTCGGGTGTAACCCACAAATAAAGCAGGCAAAAAATAAAAAAAAATTACTTTGTATGTTAATACACTGACGATAAAAGGAAGATCCACAGTGGCATGCCACTTAGTCATGTCATAGCATGACATGTGCCATGACATAGCATGTTATTTCTGACACTCAACTGGACCCTTAACAGGATGGTAAGATGGGATTGTTTCTAATAACACTGACTAAGTCATTGGACTTGAAGATGCAGAATCTAAAAGAGAAAAATAGGGTTCGATGAGATGTCAAAGAGCAAGATCATGAGTTCGTATCTCTTCCCTTACTTCTTACAGGGTGAATGAAGTCAGCATAGTTAGGGTGCTAGTGAGGTAACCAGGACCGCAGACTACCTCATCATAAAACACAGAATTTGTTTCCTGCCCGCTATGTCTCCAGTGTGGGTTGATGACACGCCATAAACCGTGATTTTCTTATCCCTGCTTTAGGAAATTCCCAGACTAAGACTACAAGGACTATGAGAAGCAGCATTAATTTGCTTCCTGTTCTTAATCCTCAGCCCATGCCCATGATGCAAAGTGGATGTCTTTATCTCACTCTTACAGGTTCATATGCAGGGCTGGGGGAGGCTGGGCCTGTTTGATGGCTCTAATAACTCCCTGCTACGGTGAAAATAGAAAAATTCCGAACCATTTTAAAAGCTTCTGCTTCCCAGTTGATGTGCGGTTAGAAGTGTGTCACCCGGAGAACTGTGTTCACCCAGACCTACGCAAAAACAGAGGGGGATTCCTGAGTCCTTGGGCTCACACCCCACCCACCTCACTGACTTCTTTTTGCTCTTCCTTGAGCTTGGTCAGCTTCATGAGTTTGCACACATCTGCGCATCTATTTTCTGGGTTGCCACTCAGAGGAAACGTCTCCAGTTAAAAGAAACTGAGCCAAAGCTAACTAACTGACCACAATTCCCAAATAATAAAACTCTTTTCTGTATTCTAACTTCAAAATAAAGAAGCCGTTCACAGCAAGGCATGGAAACCTGAGAAGTTTTGGGTATGGGTTCTCCTTCAGCAATTTTTGGTGGTGCTAGGGATTGAGCCCAGGGTCTTATACTTGACATACAAGTGCTTTATGACTGACTCATACACATGGGCCTAGAAACCCACTTCTTTCCATGTTCACCTGTGTCCTTTCTATAGTAAGACAAAGTTCTTAGTTGGAAAGGACAACCTCAAATGTCCTCATATGGCCCTTCTGCAGTCAGGAGCCTAGGCTGACACCTTTTGGAAGGCTGTTAAGTCAAATGCAATGGTGGGGGGGGGGGGCATCTGATAAATATTCCAAAGGCGAGAACTCTCAGCCTGAACATCACACTTCCAAATGTCCTGGTTTGTGCACGTCTAACCCTCAGATCTTTGCTACCTCACCAAAGGTGAGCGAGGGAGATTTATATCCTGCTGGCTTCCCACAAGCCACTCTCTCAAGAATGCCAAGTGTGATATGGGAGAGTTGGCAAGGAGACTGAGGGATGACTACTCACACTGAACCCAATACAAAGTCTCCTGACACACAGCCAATGGTACTGACAACGCACACCTTAGCAAGGGCCGAGATTCCTGTGTCCCCGCAGCACTAACAGCCGTCTAGACACAGGTATTCATTCCTCTCACACATGTGCCCCTTCCTCTGTGCTTCCTTCTGCCCACTTCTTTCTATCCTCTTCCTCAGGCCCAAATACCCGCTGACCTCTTCTCTATCGCTACAGATGAGCGTGCACCTTCTAGAACTTCATGACATTGCAGTTATACAATCTGTATTTTTTCAACAAGCCTACTTGTTTTGATGTTTACCCTTGTTATGCATACCCAAGAGTTCACTTCTTGTTTATTGCTGTGTAGTGTCTTATTGTATGGCTATATACAGTTTGCTTTTCCATTAACTTTTATTTGGGGATATCTGGGGCATTTTTATTTGTTTTGACAACTACAAATGATGAACACCCATAAAAGTTTTGTATGGACATAAGCTTTTATTTCTCTTGGATGTAGATCAAGGAGTGGAGAAACTAGTGTATGTTTAATGATTTAAGTCCCCCCTCAAGCTGTTCTTCACAGTGACTGTACTATTGTACTTTCCCCGTGCTATGTAAAGATTCTGGTTTTCCATATACTTGTCAAAACTCAGCCCGCTACTCTTTGTTAGTAAATGCAACCCACCAAGTCTCTAGTCCTGTCTTACTGTGACCTCAGTTAGCATTTTCCCAGTGACAAATGATACCAGGCATTTTTTTTTTTCATGTGTTTATTTTCCAGTCACAGAGCTTTGGGCAAGTTCCCCTATCCTTATGTTATTCTTTTTTCTTATTATGGATAAAACTCGGATTTTATTCATGTAGTAGTTTTTTCACTATATATGTGTGAACACTTTGAAGTTTAAAACATTTTTAAGTACACACATGAGTACACAATGTACGTGTGTTTAAACACATTCCAATTTGTCCAGAAAAAAAAAAGAAGAATGTTTTGCAAGAACATGTCAGGGAGTAGACTCTCCAGAAAGCTCAAATCCAGCACCCACGCTGTGGAACCTCTTCTTTAGCTATAGCTGACCTTAGAGGTTTCCCTTTAGGCAACGGAAGCCCAGAACCCAGAGTCAGGGCTGGTTTTGTGCGAACAGGAAGTGCTGCCGAAACTGATAAGACAGGAGCCATGACACAGTTTATAGGGTTCCTGTGGAAACACAAGATAGGAACCCGAAGCTGGCAAGAGCCAAGTATATCCACTACTTGACAGGGAGCTTAAGCACATGGATTCAGAAGTCCGACAAGCTGGACTTTGAATCGCCTCTGACTAAAGGCCCGAGGATCTTGAACAAGCTTTGTACAGAAATGTTCAGTGAAAGAATTCTGGGCAACTCTGACTTAGATTATAAAAGTTGAAAACCATTGCCCATTCCCTTAGATTGCCATGAAATCCTTCTATGGAAGAAGGGTGAAAGGAAGGGTTTGTAATGTGTCCACACAGGCCGGCTTGTTTACACATGCTGCTTCATTTGGTCCTAATAGCAACACCAATTCAGTTTAGCAACCAAAAGGCCGCCACCGTTTGAACTGGACGGTCCCCAAAAGCGCATGTGGGTAAGTCTTGGGTTCCCGTGTTAGGAGGCAGGAGACTCTGTAGGAGCTCTGTAGGAGCTCTTTCCGTCCCTGGAAACACGCTCCTCTGCAAGCTTCTCTTCAGTTCCCAGTCTCACCCACAACCAGAACCTGCTCCCGGATAGCGTTAGATAGTCAACAAGGGCCCTAAACCGGAAGCCAGCCAACTCTGGGTGAAAACTGTGAGCCGAAAGAAACCTTTCTGTCTCTAAGTTGGTTTATCTGAGGCATTTGTTACAGTGTCGAAGGACTGACTAGCACAGAAGCTGATTCGGAGAGTCTGTGAGCCCAGTAAGTCACGGCTTGCTTTCCAGCCCTGACCCCAGGTGCCCGGCCCACAGACTAAGCCTCCCCACAAACATCCCTGTGTGCCTCCCCTCGGGGCGGCTCCTCCCACCTGCTCTGTCTCTCCCAGTGACTTCTAAATTTTGTTTCCCTTGGCTGAAACTGAGCCAAACACAGTGAGGGTGTAATTTCACACTGCTTATTTTTAAGCAACTTTTAACCATTTTGAACTTCCTCGTTACTTTCTTTTTCCACTCCCCTTTCCTCTGCTTCTCCTGACACATCCGGCCCGGTTTTTAAACCCCGTGTTTAGGGAACACAAAATAAGATCTGAAACATTGTGCAATTACTTTTCCATTTTCTTTTTGACCGGAAAGGTCAGGGACAGACATGTTTTCGTCACTCTTCAAAGAGTGCAGAGGCAGTACCCCGAAACCTCTGTTTAGCTTTCTTTAGTGTCTCCTGACGGGTGCTGACCAACTGTTGATGTCTTCATTCAAGTAGGTTCCTCATTCTGTTTTGAAAGTCACTTGTTATGGGGCAGTTTCAGCCAGTGTGTGTGTGTGTGTGTGTGTGTGTGTGTGTGTGTGTGTGTGTAACTGAACATGATCCTTGAATCAGAACTGCGTTCTATGCTGTAAGATTTAATCATTTTTTTCTTCCAAAGTATGTTTTAGTTTTTAAGCTGATGTTTTATTCGTCTTACTCCCTGTCAATCATATGACATGTCCCGCCTTTCATTATCTTTTCCTCCTTTTCTTCTCTTTCTTTCTTTTGGTGATTTTTGGACATGGTCTCACCATGTTGCCTAGATGAGCCCTAAACTCCCAATCCTCCTGCCGCAACCTCACAAGCTCTGGGGCTACACATATATGCCACCATACCTGGCTGATGTATTATTTCTTAATACCTCTATGGTTGGTAATCAAACAAGTTCTTTTCCTCCCAGTTTAAGTTAGAAAACTGAGTGAAAAACTGATTAGTCTCTCTTGCCAGCGTCCATTGTCCTGCAAGAAGAATCATCTGCTCCCACACCCTCTACACACATCCAGTGAGGGCAGTGGCCCTGACGACAGAGTTCAAATCATGCCTGCCATATTATTGTTGCATCCGACAGGGTCTGAGCTTCATTTGCAAGGCAAAAGTCGTTCAAATATGAATATCACATTTATCTATTACCTGATTACCTGTCTCGTCAAGAGACAACCTCTCCTCAAGCATAGGCGATTGCTTACATTAGGAATCCTCTACTGTGCAACCCAAGTCCCAAGGGAAAACAGTCGCTCGGTGACAGCAGAGTTGGACTTGCGGCATGCTTAGCAGCCCTCAGGAAGAAGACCTTTGTGTGGACCCAGTGGGTCCCTTCACTTGTCTGAGGATTCTAGTTGAGATGGTATGTGTTAAAAACAAGACGTGTGTTCTGCCTTAAACTTCATCAGTGTGGCTATGCTTTCATTATACCCTACAGTAAAGTGACTTTTAAAAAAAGATGTATTTATTTTTGCTTTATATGTATGAGAGCTTGCCTGTATGCATGTATATATGCCGCGTGTCTGCAGTTCCTTTGGAGACTAGAGAAAAGTGTTGGATTCCCTGAAACTGTAATTATTGACAGTTGGGAGCCAGTGTGTGGGCCTGGGAACTGAACCTCAGGCCTTTGCTAGAATAGCAACTGCTCTAACTGCTGAGCCATGTCTCCAGTTCCTGACTTCTGCCTTGTTTTAAATGACAAGTATATGCAAATGATTTTAGAAATAAAATGAACCACTACTCAGAAGATGAAAGTGAATTGCATAAAGCGAGAACAGTTCCAGAGAGGCAATCATCCCCAAAGACACCGAGTTAAATCATGTATTTCAATATTTCAAATAAAATTTTAAATAAATCAATAGTCTGAAACAGAAGGCTGACTCTATATTGACAATTATTAGAAGATGAGCCGTAAATAAACTGTTGTGTGTATTCTACAAAGGCGATGTGCTGAGGAGTCAAAGAAAAGGATAGTCCTTTGCCTCTTGGCCATTGGTAAAATAATCTGGGACTAGGCAGAGCCGCACAGCCAGTGCAGGGGAATTGACAGCATGCAGGAAATAGGGAGAACCACATGACCAGTGCAGGGGAATTGACAGCATGCAGGGAAGAGGGAGAACCTCATGGTCAGTGCAGGGGAATTGACAGCATGCAGGGAAAAGGGAGAACTTCATGACCAGTGCAGAGGAACTGACAGCATGCATAAAGGAGCTATAGGATCAGCAAGAATGTTCTCTCCTTTCTGCACTGAGCCCACAGAACTAAACCTGGAATTAGAAAAATATTCCCAGGACTGGCAAGATGACTCAGTGTTGGAGAACACAGGCTCTTCTTCCAGAGAACCTGGGATTAATTCCCAGCATACACGTGGGGGCTCAGTCATCCACAACTCCAGCAAGGGGATCTAATGTGCTCCTCTGGCCTTAACAGAAGCCAGGCTTGGCACATGGTACACATCCATACATGCAGGCAAAATACCCATGCACATTAATAATGATGATAATAATAAATAAATAATAATAATTTTAAAAGAAAAATACTCCTTTGCATGGATACTTTGTTTTATACTTTGGAGCAGGAATGATAATTAGTGATTAATCAGAATGAAAAATTACAAACGAGTTTCCATTTTAGCAGGACCAGGAAGCCTTCGGAGCCCAACCGGAAGCTGCTTGCACTTAAGACTACAGAACTACATAGTACTGAGCCTGGGAGATTTGATGGAGCTCCGTGGCTTTGACGGCCTCCAACTCTGCAATAGATTCCAGGCCTTCGGTGGTGACATTGTACAGGTCTAACATCTATTCAGCTTGCCTTGCAATCCAGTCCCACCCACTCTGCAGATGGGAGAGACACACTAGCCAGACAGCTAGCTGCTCAGGCCTCTCGCGCATTCAAGGACCCCCGCATGAACCCCTGTTCTGTAAACCTCAAGAGAAACTCCAGGGCTTGGGGGTCACCTTCTACTTGTAAGTTGATGTGGGATTCCCCTCTGTATGCTATGAATATGTTGTATTGCCATTGGTTAATAAGGAAACTTATCCAACCAATGGCTTAGCAGAGAAAAGCCAAGCAGGAAATCTGAATAGAGATATATAGAGAGAGAGTAGGCAGAGGAAAAGGGACGTCATGTAGCCACCCAGGCGGGAACCTTACCAGTAAACCACAAACCTCATGGTAAAACATAAAATAATGAAAATGGGTTAATTTAAGATATAAGAGCTAGCTAGCAATACACTAAGTGATTGGCCAATCAGTGTTGTAATTAATATAGTTTCTCTGTAATTATTAAGGTCTGGGCAGCCGGGAACCGAACAAGAGGTCTCCGCCTACACTAAGTGATGCATAACACTCTAGCAAAGAACACGGGGAGACCTTAAATCCTTAACCTACACAGTTGCACAACCTGGAAGACCCTCAGCTGCCCCTGGTATCCTTGGGTTCATTTCTCAGACATCCACTGAAGACAGAAAGCTGCTCTTGTGGCATGTCTGGGTGAGCAGACAAGAGAGCAAGCTTGCTCCCTCATTACGTCACATAATCTCAGTCAAGAGCAACAGCTAAGTGACCAGGGAACAAAGCCTCATTCTTAGTGTTCTCAGTACACCTTGGCAACAGTGTCAAAGACGGGTGATGGTAAGACCTGGCATGAGAGAGCTAAGAGCCACAACTTAGTTCACCAAGAACACCAGAGCACAATTGGAGACAGTTTCTTTCCATGGGTATTATAATCGTACTGCATTATGTATTTATTTGCTATTTGGCTTTAAAAAAAAAACAAACTAGAAATCACCTCAGAGATAACCTAATCCATGCCTTCGTTTTCCACAAGAGGCCCCAAGGCCTGGAAAGCCTGTATAGTTATATGCCTTGTGGGACCGGCAAGGGCAGAGAGACTGGAGCAGAGTGCCGCAGGTGACATTAGGTGGCACACGGCTAGTGACACGCAGGTAAACACCTCCCACTTCCAGCTCTTTTTGGCTGAATCGTCACAGACATGGACAGGTCATGGGCTGAGTTTATCCACACGTGGGCTTCCCTCGGGAGGGGATGAGTACTTGAACACTGGCCTTACTTCCCAGTCCGTGAGACCGTTTGGATAGCTTTGATCCACTCAGTACGCTCCTTGGGAGTGGCCGCCTGAAAGTAATAATGAACTTCATCCGCTGTGATGATCTCAAAAAGGTTCTCATCATCACTCTTCTTGCCTGGGGGTCGGGGGAGAAAGTAAAATAAAGTGCGGGTACCAGAAACTCAGCAGTCCACACCTTCCCAGAGATATGGAAGGCTTGGTTCTCCATGTCCTAAGGAAAATCTGCATTCATACCCATTGCCTAAGGATACATTCTGTATTTGTAAAGATAGCCATGTAGTATGAGCATTAAGAAACACGTGCAATACTCAAGGAGAAACATTTTCTTTCATAATATGTAAGTAAGCTAAATGTCTTGCCTTTGCACACCAATAGCATCTATAGTAACTTCTAATGGTGTTGAAGGAGGGCCTTTGTTTGGCTTCAAGCCAAGAACCAATCTCAATATATGCTATATTAAAATGTACATATATTTATATCAACAACCATACATATATAAGGAACCCAAGCCATATCAAATATTAGTCTTGTACATATAGTCTAAACTAAGAGATAAGTCTGAGCTCTTAATGAAAGAAGAAAGGGCAAATAAACCCAAAATGTCAAGATGAAACCAGAGTGATTACATGGTTTGCTCCCTTTCACATGGCATGTCTTCTCTTGATTCAAGATAAACTATCAAGAGTTGAGTATCAAGACAGACAAGCACACATCAAACCAATTATTGCAGAGTGATGCCTGTTGAAATTTGGTAACTGACACATGCTTTTCTCTATAATTTTGTGTCCAAAAATATAATTTTTATAACAATACAGAAAAATTAGTCTGACAAGTAACAGGGGAAAAAAAGAAAGAAAACAGGGCTTGGGTTGTGAAAACCACATCTCCAGTGACCCCATCCATCCTCAGCATCTGGCAAGGCAGTGACAGCCAAGCGGTTAATCCGTGAGTCAATCCTAGGCACGTGAGTGCAAGGGAACAGAAGTCATCTGGTGCAGCCCCTCATTTTCAGAGCAGGGACAGAGATGCAGCGGGGTGGCCTGCTCACAAGTGGCTGTGGAGTAGACTGAGTTGCACAGACACAGCCAACTGTACTGGGGTAGTTTTCTCTGTAAACACTTTGCCTCGTGGTATAGGAACTCGGTTCACTCTGTTTATTGCAGAGCACTTCCTTAGATGGACAAATGCATGATCTCCTTTAAGGAAACCTGCAGCATCAGGAGTTGCTGTCAAGCCCTTCGTAGAAGCCAGGTTGGAGGTGATGAATTTTTCTAGCATTGAGCAGTGACACACTCGAGGCATCCACAAAGGCATCCCCATTGCCCAAGTTCTAAAAGGTAGGCTAGCTCTAAGGGGGGGAAAAATGAAACTTACTCCTTCCAAAGTTTTCAGACAGTAAATCAATGTGGGTTTGTGCCTCATGACTGACTGATTAGCTCAATACACACAGGGAAGAGCACAGCGAACACACTTCCCTCCCACAGAAATGCCTTCTTACCATCGGGATGGCTCTCCACTGACGTCACCACACAGCCCCTCAAGTGAACCGCTCCCAGGGGATCTTCACCCTGGAAGAGAGAGGGGCTGCTGAGTCTCCAAAGTACACAGTGTGGACCTGCATCGCCCTGTTGCTGCAGACAGCACACAGGCTTAGTCAGGCACATGTCAGGTGAGAGCACAGGGGGTGACAGAAAATCCTTTTCAAAATGTCTACCCCCCACCCCCCGCCACAAGCTGTGTGAGAAGATGCAAGCCGGTCTAGAGCTGAGATCTGGAGGAAAGAAGTGGAGAGTTGGAGATGCTCAGGTTGTTACATCCCACTGAAGAACTGCCTGTTCTCGCCTTTGGCATAGCATGTCAGTGCTCACGGGAGTTAGTCACGGGACACCATGTGTGTGCAGAGCAAAACCTCAATCCCAACAGTTGACACAAGCTTCTTTTTTCTTTCGAGTTAGATCTTTTTGTTGAGGGAAAAAAACCTCTTCATCAGTCACCAGCCAGAATTGCTGGACCTAGAGGGACTGTCATGGTGTCCTGGAAGATGAATTATCTATTCGTGCATGTTAGACCATGTGCATGGTCCTGGACAAGATGAGTTGCTACAATAATATCAAACTGGAGACTACCTTGGGGGACTAAATGCTGCTTTCTGGCAACCTAATAAAGGTGGAAATTAGAAGAAGAAATGGACATTGCTCTGACAGCAAAGGAGAGACAGAGCTTTGAAAATTCACAATGGTCGTGACAGAGCAGGTAAAAGGTGCAGAGAAAATACAGAAGACACAAGGGAATGACGTGAACACCAAGCTTCACCCGGGGGCTAGAGAGATGGCTCGGTAGCTAAGAGGGTTTCCTGCACTTGTATGAGGACCACATTTGATTTCAGCACTAATGTAACACGTGGATATGTCCCTCACACCCCTATAACCCAAACCTGTGGAGCCAGGGGGATTGCTAGGGTCTATTAGCTTCCAGCCTAAGCAGAAAATGACAACAAACTAAACTCTAGTTTCAGAGAGAGAACTCACTGCAAAGAAATAAAGGAAAGAGTGATAGAGGAGCATTTAATATTATCCTCTGGTCTCCACACACGTTTAGAGTCGCACACACCTGTACACATTCATGTCTATAGAGCACACATACACACACACACATACACACACACAGCCCACATGAAGAAGTCTTGCCCAAAAGCACTTTGTTTTCTCCAGTGCAAGCAGTAATGCCCTCAACTGTGGGCTGCTCAATAAGAACATCCTCTAACAGAACCAGCACATAAGCCAAGAAAGGCACAGATCACAGCACAGAAACACAGACACAAAGCAGTATGACTCCTCCAAAAGACTATCATAACCCCTCATGAACTGAATTCCGAGTTGCTGAAGTAGGTACAATGTTGGATGAAAACTTACTAGTCAAACGGTTAGTGACCTCAGATGGTTCACAAACAAGCAGATGAATCCGATCTAAGACCTGTGGAGGAGTATCAGCAACACAGAAAAAACAACCAGAAAAACGGAAAAGCAGCAATGTAGATTGAAAAGTGACAAGGAAGAAAATTCAACAAGATGGGATGTTGAGAGACAGCAACCAAAAGCAGAGTCAACTAAATAAAAAAAAAATAGAGCACAAAGTACCATCAATGGGTTTGACCAAGCAAAATAAAAATATCAAGGATGGAGGAAACTGGGGACTGTGACATCTCACATCAATTAGTATAAACGAATAGACACACAAGCAGAACACAGTGTCCAAGACCTCTAGGATACAGTCCTAAGACCGAACCTAAGAATCCATGGCATAGAGAGAGATGTGGTGGAAACCGAAGGTAGATAATCTATTTGACGAAATCATAGCAGAAAGTAGAGCAAAGCTAGAGAAAGGAAATAGCATTCAAACACAATGGCATTTATGATCGAAAATTGACATGCCCAGAGAAGAATCTTCCCACAATGTATTATAGTCATGATAGTGATAAAGCAGAGCTAAGAAACAATATGAAAAGCTGGAAAGTAGGTGTAAGTATATCTGCGGTGGGATGTGGAGTCTCGTGGGAATGCTGGGAAGCGATGCAGCTGGGTCAAAGGGTAGTTCTCTTTTGAATTGTTTGAGAAAACTCCATGCTGGTTACCATGATGGCTGGACTAGTTTGTAAACTCCCATCATTCTTGAGTTTTAAAAGTTTCTCTTTCCTCAGTAGCCACTCAGAGTGGAGCGAGGTGATGTCTCAAAGCAGCTTTTTGATGACAAGGGATGTTGGACACTTTGTAAAAATAGCTATTGGCCATTTGTAATTATTCTTTTGAAAACTATCTGTTCATTTCTTTAACTTGTTTGTTGATTGGTAGGGATTTTTTTCTATGTTTAATTTTTTCAGTTTTTCTGAAAATTCTGGATATTATCTCCCATCTGAAGTATAGCTAGTAAACACTTTCTTCCATTCTGCTGGCCGTCTGTTCGCTTTGCTTATAGTCGCTTTTGCTGTGTAGAGGTTTTTATTTTAATTTCATCCCATCTGTTGATTCTTGGATCTAGTCCCTGTGCAGCGGGAGATCTGCTCAGAAGTCACGCCTAAACCTGGGTCTTGATGCACATCCCTTCTGTTTTCCATGGTTGGCTTCAGCGTCTCGGGTTTTAAATACAGTTAATTTCCTCACACAGGGCGAAAGATACCCAGATTCCATTCTGCACATCAATAGCCAGTTTGTCAGCACCATTTGTTGAATAAGCTGTCTTGTTTTCTACTACATGTTTCTTGTTTCTTTGTCAAAATTCAGGTGGCTGAAGCTTTGTTGGCTTATTTCTGAGTCCTCTCTTCCATTCCATTGGTCTAACTGTCTGTTTTCACTGTTTGTATGCCCGGATCTGGCTATCTTTCTCATTACAGCCATGTTGTATAATTTGAGATGGAGTGTCGTGATACCTCCAGGCATGTTCTTTCTCCCTAGGACTACTTTGGCTATGTGTGGTCTTTGTAATTCCACATGAACTCTTGACTGACTTTTGCTAGTTCTATGAAGAATGGCACTGGTGTTTTGACTGAAGCTTCATGGAGTCCGTAGTATACTTTTGATAGTATGGCCGTTTTCATACATTAATCTCACCAGTACACCAGTGGAAGGCTATAGATAAGGGCAAAACCTAATAAATCTAGACAAGGATCTGCGAGAAGTTAAAATAGGGAATGAGGGTGTGGGATTTCAAACATGAAAGAAGAGATGGGAGGAAGCTTACAGTGGGGATCAGAAGTATGGAATAGATGGCTGAGGGGCAAGGAGGATCTGCTAAAACACACTTTCATTCAATATTTGTTTGTACTGATATCTAATACCTTGTAATTTGAAAAGGTTTAAAAATAGAGCAATCTCTCCTAAGAAGGCAAGCACATAGAACAACATCAGCTCTCCATCAGTATCCTTAGAGCCACGAGAGCATGGAATGCTGTTCCAAAGGCTGACATGTGCTAACTGCAAACATGGATTTCTATATACAGCAATGCTATCCTTTAAATCTAGTGGAAAATTAGGACATTTAAGAAAATCGTAAGCCAGTTCATGGTGCTCAAGTCAGCACTGAAAAA